CTTATGATCATGTAGACTGAAAATTTTTGGACGCTTGATTAATTAAGCTGAATTTTGGTCCATCAATTCGTAGATGAATTACTATCCTTCATTCTAATGCCACTACTAGGGTTCAGGTCAATGGTCTTCTTTCCCCGGAAATCAGACTACAGAGATCAGTCAGGCAAGGGAATCCATTAACTCTATTTATTTTTTTAATTATAATGGAAGCATTAGGAGTTAATCTAAGAACTAACCAGAATCTTAAAAAACTGCAGATTACGAAAATACCGGAAGAGGGTATACCAATCTGCTCTATATTTGCTGATGACCTAACTATAATGATGGAGGCATCCAAGAAGAATATGGAAGAGATAAAAACACTGATGGATAAATTCTCCCTTCTTTCAGATATGGTGGTCAATTGGGGGAGTAAGACATAGGGATGGTGGATTCACTCTCAAGGGGATAGGCCCCCTGAGAATCCTAAGGTAAAATGGTTACCAATAGAAACACCAATCAGGGTTTTGGGAGTAATACTCACAGCTAGGGGGAAACCTAATTCTAATGATGTATGGATCACTTCCTCAACTTTACAAAAAATGAAGCAATGGATGAATCAACATACTTCACTATTTGGTAGGGCTCTGGTTATCAATAACGTAATCTTGGCTTCTATCTGGTATAAATCTGCTTTGTGGTCAATAAGTAATGGATCAATCAAGGAACTTAGGAAGCAACTCACGGCTTTCTTATGGCGAGGAGATCATGAAACAACACATGTAATCCCTAGAGTGGCTTGAAAGGTTCTTTTCCAGCTGAAGTCCAAAGGAGGACTGGGCATTTTGAATCCCTCAATCCAGTGCCAAGCACTAGCTCTCCAATGGCTAAAACGACTAATATTGGCCACGGATCTAACCTGGCAAGCATTGACACTGGAACAAATACGCAAAATGGCTCCACAAACTACAAAAGATGTCAATCCACTGATTTGGGTAGAGGACAAATACTGGTTCATTCCTCGACCACAATCACAATCTCAGAAGGAGGGGGATGGAGGGGTAGTAAAAAGGGATCTGGTTTTAAACAGTTTTTGGGCTAACCTATTGAAAACTTGGCGAAATTTGCTTTTGCCAAACAAATCAATTCCTTTTAGGTATGAGGAAGTCCTACGCCAACCAATTTTTGGCAATAGATGGATCACGGATGCACAAGGAAGAGTGTTCATAAGTTCCACGTCCCCATGGTCCACTTGGGTCAAGCATGGTGTAGTAAGGATCAAGGATTTATGGGACCCGGAAAATAAAAATTGAAAATCGGTAAATCATTTGAGAAAGGAAATTAGATATGCACACAATCTAGCTGAAAATCTGGATTTAGTGATTTCATCCATTCCTTTGGTCTGGATAGCCGCCCTGAGAAATGGTCCTATTTTTTTGGTTGCAGATTGAGTGTGTGCTTATCAAACGACGGGTTCCAGTGTAGTGGGACAAATTCTGGATATCCATAAGGATGGCGCCCTCGTTAACATCTTTACACTCCATAAGAACTTCTCTCTATCACAAGAAAATCAGGATAAGGTGAAATTTTTTCATCTTGACTCACTCCACAAAGTGAGAGCTTTGTATTGTCCTGTATCTAAAGGATGGACTGTATATGCCCCGAATATTCCCCTACAGGAACTCCCCCTGGATCCAGCAGAATAGACCTGGCGTACCAACAGAAGATGTAAGGCTAAGAAATTACAATCTTTATCAGTCAAAGCCTCGTATCGTCTATTACGTCCAAAGCTTGATGTTCTAGACATAATACGAAAACGATGGGCCCGACATTTAAATATATACACAGATTTGCTTATGCCAATTAAGTGGTGTCAAGCTTTCAGAGACAAACCTGCTAAATTTGCATCACTGCAATGGCAGATTATTCATCGATGTTTACCAACAAATGACTGGTTGATTGACCATATCACGCTGGAATAGAGGGGTGTAGCTCTACCGTGGTGTTGTATATGTATGTAAACCTTTCCTAATAGGAGGATTAGAGAGACAATCGAACACATTTTTTTGCAATGCCCGGGGGCAAAATTGTGATGGAGGCGTTGGGATCATGTATGGAACAAATTGACAGGCTTAGATTGGCCTTGGGACTGGAGGGCGATCCTCATGGGCCATTGGTGTCCTGTACTCATTTCTCTTTCAACCTTTCAACAAAATTTATTTAACATTGGTAGAAAGACCATTTTATGGGCACTATGGTATAGAAGATGTGTAATTACGATGGAAAAGGTTAGGATTGAGGGAAAGGAAATGTCTGAGCTTGTTCAACAATTCATTGAAACAGAAATAAGATCCCAATGGGACAAGATTAAATCTGGACTTCACACACTACAACAAAAACAGGACATTAAGAAAAGAATTCAAACTTTCACAAAGGACTGGCTGGGTGACTCCTCRAGAGAAAAACTGGGAAAGGTAGAATGGCCAGGAGGGGAAGAAGATGGGAATCTCAAAAGAGATTATGAGATCACCTTCCAGGACTGGTTTAAGGTGCAGGCAGGAGCTACTTTGAGGTCCCCAGAAGCATTTCCAGAACTCTTTCCTCCTTCTGAGCTAGCTTTGGTGGATCTTCTTTGGTTTGGAGGGGGGGAAGGATAACAAGTTTCATTTCTCTTCATTATGTCAGCAAATATCTGTGTTCGGAGTAGGCAGAACGGGATGGGTTTTGGAGATTGGGAGCTGCTAGCATTTAAATAAGTATCTGGCGGCCAGCTTCTGACCGAAGAGGCAGCTCTCTCTCTCTCTTTCTGCCACCTCTCTCTTTGATCCATGGTTCAGAAAATTATATGTAAGGGACGCTGGACCCGGTTTCCAGCAGGTGCAGCTCCCCACCAATAGAATGGAGCTACTAAAAAAAACAAAACAAAAAAAACCCATGACAAACGGCATCAGCAGAAACTAAGTTGAACAGTGTCTGGGTATAGATGCAAGTTGGGCGCTGGGACTGGGTATACACGCAATTCCTAAGGGTATAGATGCAAGCTGGGGATGGGGTACAGAATCTACAGATGGAGATGGGGTATAGATGCAAGTTGGGCGCTGGGAATTGCGTGTATACCCAGTCCCAGCGCCCAACTTGCATCTATACGCAGACCCTGTTCAACTTACCGGAGTTCAGAATCACGGGTGCGCAGCCCGTAGTTCCTGCTGATGCGGTTTGTCATGTTCTATATACATGTATATATGCAAGTTGGGGATATACCCGCCTTTTAAATTTATGGGAAATCGGTGGCCCCACAACGGCGTTTTGGAAGCGGGCCCCAAGCTATGCAGCTCCTACGAGCTCCTATCGGCGGAGGGAGTGGCAGAGTGTGCGACACTGTGCGACCCATTTCCATTCACATGCAGTCACACATTCCGCTGCATAACACGGTAAATACTGCAAGCACGCGCGCCCGAGCAGCGCACCTTCATGTGCGCGGGAGCTAGCTTCGTCTGAGCGTGAGGTAGTTCTACTTGCGCGGCAGCAAGCTTCATTTGCGCGGGAGCGAGCTTCATTTGCGCGGGAGCAGAGGGCGGGCGAATAGTCAACCTGCACCTGAATTGCTGATGTGATTTAAGACATAATTGAATGAATGTGTAGCTTCGGGGGATTCGATCCGTGCACCTGCAGGTCGACCGATCTTTACCAGAATAGAAAACAAGTAAGGCGCGGATATGGATCGTATGGAGCTCGACAGTCGGGAAGCAATAGTACATTTGCAGGGGGCGGGTGGGGTCGGAGAGACGGTTTGTTGCAAGGAGGGTTGTGCGTAGGGGCGGGATCTCGGCTGCGGCTGAATGCCCTCTTTTGCCCAGATCGGCTTCGTTAAGAAAAGATAATAACGGTTCTGCAGGATGCTCGATCCTGCGCATTGTAGCATCTTACGCTACCTTCTTCCCCCGAATACAACGTACGCTCATTATAGCTGTATTTGGGGTATGTTTCAGTCTAATAACAGCTATAATGACGGTACGTTGTATTCGAGGGAAGAAGGTAGTGAGTGATCGACGGTCGGAGCAGGCTCAGCTAAGAAGTGATCGAGGGTCGGAGTAGGTTCGGCTGACAAGCGATCGAGGTTTGGAGCAGCCTCGGCTGATAACCGATCGATTTTCGGACCAGGTTCGGCTAATGGTCGATCGAGGGCGGAGCAGCTTCGGCTGATAGGCGATAGCTCCTCTCTGCGGTCCCTGAGCATAGCTGGAGGACTGCAGAGAGGAGCTGTACATGGAGAAGAAAGAAGAGGAGGAGGAGGAGGAGCAGGATAAGGAGGAGGATTAGGAGGAACAGTAGGAGGAGGAGGAGGAGGAGGAGGAGGAAGAACAGTAGGAGGTAAAATGAAGAAGGAAAAGGCGAGGGGGAACAAGAGAAGAAGAGAGTAGGGAGGGGAAAGAGAGGAGGAGGTACAGGTGTGAGATTTCGGACTCGCTGTCCCGACACGAGGGAGACTTACCTCCCTCCGCACACTGAGGGTCGCAATAGCCAGGAAGAGAAGTACGAGCAGCTGCAGCAGGAGGAGGAGGAGGAGGAGGAGGAGGAGGAGTGCCGCAGCAGTAGCAAGAGGAGGAGGACGAAGATGAAGAGAATGAGGAGAAAGATAAGGGTGAGGATGAGGAGGGGCAGGAGAGAAATAAGTTCAAAAGGTAAGGAGGACATGGATAAATTCAAAAGATGAGGACAAAGAACCAGGGAAGAAGAGGAGCAGGAGGAGGAGGAGGAGGAGGAGGAGGAGGTGGTGGAGGCGGTGGAGGAGGAGGGAGGACAAACAGCCGTAGAGCGGAATAAATGTAAAGAAAAAGAAAAAGAAAACAACGAAAAAAAAAAGAGGAGGGGAGGACGATAATCAGGTCCTGGATGTTACGGTTCGTTACGACCCCCCACGTGTTAGCGGATGGCTTTGCAAACCATCACGTGAGTGTGTCGCAGTCGAAGATGGATTGCATCAGTTTAAATGGGGTTCAGTATTGGCTTGATAGGACGGGACTGAGTCCCTCGCAAACATGGATGATGTGTACTTCGCCTAATCTCGTGTGAACGTTTTTCACGCTCCTACGTAGCTAATGAGGGGAAACGACTGATAGATGAGGTGGAATCCGATGCTAACACTGAGAAGAGTGTGCATTTTGACTTGGTGATCGAGAGACTGGCAACCGATTAGCATTCGGGGAGTGTTGGACTTGTGGACTTAGTTCTGTGTATTCGGATGCATTGGCATCGACGGGGTCTCTGGCCTTCATCCGATCGCCACACCCGCTTTTCACAGCAACCTACAGAAAAGGGAGGAGGAAGAGGAGGAGAAGGACGAGCACCAGCAGCAATAGGAGTAGCAGGAGGAGGAGGAGGAGTAGGAGAAGGAGAAGGAGTTGGTGGGCAAGGCGGAGAGCGAGTCCTTGCCACAGCGAGCGGCTGTACGGCTTTATCCACCATGGATCGGTTGGGCAATCCTAGTCCAGTGGGCAGTCGTCGGGATACCACTACCACCTCTCCTCCCACCTCTCAGAGATGTAGCGATGCAGGATGTGCGACAGGATGTTCTCCGACAGAATGCGGTGCAACAGAACGGTGTGCGGCAGGCAATTGTGTGACAGAATGCCGTGCGACAGAGGATTGTGTGGCAGGATGTTGTCCGACAGGTAGCGAAATAGAAGGAGCTGGTGATGTAGATGGTGGAGTTCGTTGCAGAAGCAAGTGCAAGTGCAATGCATGTGGTCTCACAGCTTGGCAGCGCCCGCTGTCGTCAGATCTACCACTATCAGATCCAAGGGTACTTAGTCTAAAACCAACAGTCCGTTCTCGCAGACAGACCGTTTCGATCCGCTGTCGTGACCATTGGCATTGGCATCGCAGCGGTTGCAACCTCATCATCGCCATCGTGGCTAATGCGCTACTACTACACTCTCTCTCTCTCTCTCCCTCCTCCTCCTCCTCCTCCTCCTCCTCTTCTTCTTTCTCCTCGTCTTCTTCTTTCTCCTCCGCTTCTTTCTCCAGCGGCTTGGCTATGGCGAGAACTCTTGAGGATGAGGACAACGACGAAGCTTTTGTCAAAGCTGAAAGACGATGTGTTGCCTCGTTACCATCCACTAGCAGCTTGCATTCCAGCCACCAACATCCCCACCTCAGCAAGTATCAGCAACAGCAAGAAATGGATAAAGGTCTAAATAAAGAAATGGGTACTAAGAGAAATGGTGAGAATGGGGATGTTGGTGGTGGCAAGGCAGCGGCGGCGGCGGCGGCGTCGTCTAGTTCTGAGAACGAGTTGCAAACTTGCAGCCCACCGTATACGTGCGTGTTGAGTAAGCCAGCCCGTCGGTTGACGACAGCGGCAGACGCAGAGTCGAATGAGGAGGTCGAGGAGGAGGAGGGGGAGGAGGAGAAGGAGAAGGAGAAGGAGAAGCAGGAAGAGGAACCTGCAGAGGGCACGTGTCAGACCCTTAAGGACGGGGCGTACTGCTATGACGGGACCACTGGGCTTTACTGGGCTGATGGCACCGTCGGTATCCCTGTAGACGCGAAGCCTACCAGTTGCAAGGCCTGTGTGTGCGGAGGCGGGGGCTCGACCCTGTGCACTCTGGAGGAGCACCTAGACTGCGCTCGCGAGCTCGGGTTGGATAATGTTTTTGAGTTGTCGTCAATAGATACTGAAACGATAATGCCAAACTCCTCTTGGAACGAGTGTTACGCGGACTCCACGTGGGCGGGCCCATACAAAGACACGTGTTCGGGGACGAATGAGGTGTGCGTGCTTCGGATGGTAGGTCGAGCAGACATTAATCTCCCTCACAAGGGGACATGCACGACGCTGGAAGCAGAGGAGGAGCAATCTGCCTCCTCCTCGCCATCAGGCAAGGGGTATTATTGCAAAATCAACAACCTGTATTGGGCCTTCGGAGTGAAAGACATTCCGTTCGGCGACGAGTGCAATGTGTGCGAGTGTGTGGAGGATAACGGCAGGACGAGGAGGGGCAGTTGCACGACCCGCACGTGCTTCTTCCCTCTGCGCACGCCCCCCATGCAGCCATGCGAGAATCCAGTCCCATGCTACGTGGACGTCTGCAAGACCGCCACGTGTGATCCTTATCCGGACGCTAAGTGTGAGGGCGACTACTGTCACGGGTCCTGTTCAGCCCTCTTCTTCAAGGAAGATGGCAAGAACGTTACCTGCGCTTGCGCATGCAGCAAGTCTCAGAGTCAGCCAGTCTGCTCCGCTGACGGTCTGTCGTTTGCGAATCCTTGCTGGGCAGAGTGCGAGGGACACACTCCCTACACTCCTGGAGCATGCACTAACGAGGAGCCTGTGAGCAAGAACTACAAGGAAGGGGAAGATCAGGGGTTGCCAAAGCCCAACGCCACACAATGCTACGCAGGGGGAGGAGACGGGGCGGAGCTGCGAATGCCTCAGGGTGGGTGCGGGGACGGGGAGGTGTGTGTTCTCGACCATGTGGGTAGACCAGAGGTGGATGCGCCGCACACTGGGGTATGCCAGTCCCAAGGACCTGGGAGTGGGAGTGGGACTGGGACTGGGACAGGAGCCTTAGCAGGAGAAGGAGGAGGAGGAGGAGGAGGAGGAGAGTACTGCCAAGTCGGTGGGCTCTACTGGGCGCCAGGCACCGCTGGCATCCCCTTTGGCGACGGATGTCGCACGTGTCGTTGTGAGAAGGCCCCCAGTGCTGACCCGTCATCCTCGGGATCGGAATCGGGATCGGGATCGGGATCGGGATTGGATGGCAGGCCCCAACTGTATTGCAGCGGCAGTGGGGCTTCTTCCTGCATTGGGATCCCGAAGACCGAGGAGCTGTGCCGCTTCCCTGTTTCCTGTCCCTTGGATCCGTGCGACAACATGCTCTGCATGCCTAAGGAGAAGGCTATCTGTCAGCGCGATTCGTGTCACGGAGCTTGCAGAGCGTTGATCTTCAGTGCCAATCGAACGGTGTCGGTCAGCAGTGCAGATGAGGTGGACATTGAAGACCTCCCACCGTCTGACATCTGCACAGACGAAGCGCAGGACATAGATTATGGAACGGATATTGCATGTTATCGGGATCCCTGCGGGAATGGGACGTGTCGTCGTTATCCGGAGGCGAAGTGTTATGCAGACTACTGCCTGGATGACATGTATGAGAGGGGGAGGGAGAATGGGTGGGGACCACCCAAGGTTTTGTTCCTCCTTACCCCAGAAGGCGGGGGGGAGGACAGTGAAAAAGCCAATGTGACCTGCGATTGCCTGTGTCCGTTCGAGGAGGAGGAGCCGGCAGTGTGCGGCGAAAACAGGATGACGTACGCCAGCGGATGTCGCGCAGCGTGCTACGGAGTGCGGTACACTCTCGGTGGGTGCGACGTCGGACCCAACTGCAACTGTACGACAGAGCCGCTCAAATGGGTGTGCGGGAAAAATGGCAAGAACTACAGCAGCGCCTGTACTGCGAGATGCCGTAATGTCAAAGTGAAGCGGCAAGGGCCGTGCAAGTCGACTGCATTTCGGTAATTATAATGATTCAATTTTTCAATGCATTTTGCTCATTCCAAAAACGCACCATGCATCGACTTCCTTCCACCATTCTTCTTCTTCTTCTCTCTCTCTCTCTCTCTCTCTCTCTCTCTCTCTCTCTCTCTCTCTCTCTCTCTCTCTCCCCCCTNTCTCTCTCTCTCCCCCCTCCCCCCTGTCTCTCTCTCTGTCTCGCTTTCTCCCCTCCCTCCCTCCCTGTCTTCTCAGTCGATCCAATAAAAGGCAATGAACAATCGCTCACTAAACTATTTGGATTCCTCACTTCCTCAATCAATCAGCAAAGCAAACAGAAGATCGATTGCGTGAGGATGGATCAATTTGTCAATTAATCATAAATCTATCCATCAGGCAGTTAATCGAATATGGGTCGACCGCCGGGTGGATCGATGATTCGTCAATTTGTCAGTCACGTAGGCTGTGCGTTCTTGTTGGACCTTGCAATTGATAGAGGCCGTTCCGGAAAACGGCAACTTATGCAGACCTACTCGTAATCCATCAATCAACTACCCAATCAATCAATCAACTAACCAATCAATCAATCAATCATCTATCCAATCAATCAACTAATCAATCAATCAATCAACTAACCAATCAATCAATCAGTTACGACGGATCGATGGGTCGGTTGATCGATGATCCGTCAATCTATCAGTCACATAGACTGTCCGCTTTTCGAACCTTGCCTAGCCATTCATAGGTGGTCCGAGGAAAAAAGCGTCAAATTATGCACTCTACCGTCCTCACCCGAATAGAACGCCCGGTCATTATCGCTGTATCTAGACTGAAAGTTGCACCACGTACGTCTGTAATGACCGGGCGTTCTATTCGGGTGAAGACGGTAGTCCACTAGCAGATATGCTTCACAAACCTGGTACGCTCCCCGTTGATGTTTTTTTTAGATGTTGTCAACGCATATGAGTGACATGATAAAGCTGCTTTTTCCCCCTGCTATGACCCGGAAGAAAGAGTCGACCAACCAATCAACCAACCAATCAGTTAATCAATCAATCCACTGATCAATCAACCAATCAGTTAATCAATCATTCCACCGATCAATCAACCAATCAGTTAATCAATCAATCAACCGACCGATCGACCAATCAGTCGGTCAATCTGTCAACTCATCGACCAATTATTCGGTTGGTGAATGTTCCTCGACATCGACCCGCCGCTTCTTGTAATACAAAAATCATCGAGCTTTCCCACTGCATCCGCATCTGGCTTGTCTCGTTCCCCCCTCACTACCGTAGTCAATCAATCAATCTGGCCCATTAGTCAAGCGATATCCAATCAAAGAACTTATCAATCTATCTCTCATCCATAGACATTTCAGCGATCGCTTAAGTGATTGGTTTCTCAAGGCCTTAATCAATCAATCAATCAATCAATCAATCAATCAATCAATCATCAATCAATCAATCAATCAATGGACCAGTCAATCAATCAACCGACCAGTCAATCAGTCAATCTGGCCGATCAGCTAACCCATATCCAATCAGCAATTAATCAATCTATCTCTGATCCGTAGACATTTCAGCGATCCCTTAAGCGTTGCTAAAACGATCGGTCAATCACGAACATAACCGATCACTCGGTCAATCAATCGATCAATTGAATTCAATCCAATCCAATCCAATCCAATCCAATCAATCAATCAATCAATCAATCAATCCATCAATCAATCAATCAATCAATCAATCAATAAATCTGGTGGACCAGTCAAAACGCTATCCAATCAATGAACTGGTCAAATCTATCTCTCAGCCATAGACATTTCAGCGATCGGATAATCCGGAGCATACAAAACTCGCGCACTCGACGAATCGATTAAAAATCGAAATATTATCGATCAGTCAGTCAGTCGGTTAATGACGCCGATACGAATCAACTGACCCCTTTGGGATTGCTAGTGCAATGCAGATCGTTACTTTTTTTTTTTTTTTTTTTTTTTTTTCCTGATGACCCGCCAGAACCAACCGCCACCCTAACTATGAATGGAGCATCGCTGTTTGCTTTTCGAAGGGGGGGGGGAATAAAATGTGAAAAAAAAACTCCGAAAATCAAGGAAATTAACACAAATACAATCAATTTCAGTACCGGCAGCATGCAACGCACGTCTGACTCAACCAGTTATAGTGGGATTTAGTTCTATTTGCTTTTTTTTTTCTTCCCCATTTTCTTTGATTTTTTCAACTTTTTTTGTTCTTTTATTTAGTTTTACTATTGGCATGTGGTGTTCCCCGCCAACATATGGAACCACCTGGGATGACTACTAGGACTGTCTCTTATACACATCTAGATGTGTATAAGAGCCCCCCCCCTAGTAGAGGTCGCAGGCTGTGTTAAAAAAAAAAATAAAAAAAATCCATACCCCCCTCGATATACCATGTGAGATTACCAATGAAATAAAAAATTAAATTAAATTAAGTTCAGGCAAAAGGAACCCCACTGCACTAAGGGACCACGATCCGGTCTCCCAGATCCTCTTTCCCCGGAATGAAATGCGCGATCGCTGTCTCTGCATCTGGACTGAAGCTTTGATGACAGTGCGCTCTATTCGGGGGAAGGTGGTTGGTAGCACGGAGGATTTAGAGTAACGGACCGTTCGAATCTTCTCAGTATTTATCTGTTCATCCGCCGTTTTCCCCCGAATAGAACGCACGGTCATTATCTCTGTATTAGGGCCAACCTTCAGTCTAGATGCAGCGATAATGACCCGGCGTTCTATTCGGGGTAAAAGAAGGTCGTACCCGGATATCTATCCGCTACTCCAAAAACGAAAAATTCCCAACGGAAAAAAAAAATAAAAAATTACCAACGGACAGAAACCTTGTTACAACTTCTCCGTTGGTAATTTTTCGTTTTTGGAGTAGCGGAGTTGGTACACCCATGCACGAAAATTTACCTACGCTTAAAAAAAAAAAAAAAAAAAAAAACCCTGCGGAAGGATCATTGAAAAAAAAAAAAAAAAAAAAAAAAATTTACCAACGGACCTAGTGCAGTTGGTAAACACCCATGAACTGTTGTAACACAGACCCGAGCTCGAATGCAACCAGATGACGAGAATATATCTAAAGGCCAGCGCCCTTTTTCTTTTTTTTCGGGAAAAAAAAATCAAAATTAATCGATCAAGCATCAAACTCACAATCATCGAATCCTTACAGATTTATTCATGTGGATTTCACTTTACCCCCCCCCCCAAAAAAAAAAGACTCATGGGTTGGGGATTTACTATATACATATATCGTCATAGAGAACTGCCCGATGAACCTTAGGCAGAGAGGGAGAAGAGGACATCAGATGTATATTCAACTCCTGTGAGGGAAAACGCACCAAGGTGTCCTTCAGGACATCCATTAAAATTGAAACGATACAGAGAAGGACATTAGCATGGCCCCTGGGCAAGGAGGACACGCATAAATCGAGAAATGGTTTCAATTAAAAAAAAAAAAAAAAAAAAGAGTACCAAGGGGGAAAAAACCTGCCTTCCATTGGCAATGGTTGGATGCTCTCGGGCACGAAACGAGAGGTGGTACCTCCTGCCACCGGAGCTCTTGCTCTCAATAGTGCTACTCATCGGGTGAACAGTTTACCAAATTTTTTCTTTTTCTTTTTGTTCCCCTCTGCCTCCCCCCCCCTCTCCCTTCCCCCCCCTCTTTAATCATCGTTATTGCAAGCCTACAATCCTGAGGATGGTAACAGCACCCCCCTGATTGAGACTAGACATATGGATCCTTTTTTTTTTTTTTTTTTTTTTTAGGAGGGGAAGAAAGCAGTGCCCTTTCCGTTCTATTGGTGCGGGGGTTGTACGTTCCCCAAATGGGTTCCAGCATCCCTGATTAACAGTGAAAAATGATACATCAATTCAATCCAGGGCCTGCCGCTGTTTGCTGGAAACTGGGTCTAGCGTCCCAGTTGCTCGGAGGGATTGGATTCCCATAACGTTGCGAGCTCAAGTCGCAAGGACAGAACAGACCTCTTCAGCTCAATCTGGCCTCCAGATATGCAATATCATATAGGCCAGCTGTCGCGACTTGCTTTCAGGGATCCGAGGACTACGGCGTACTAGGTGATCGATCATTCTTGTACTACCAACTCCTGTTGATCAAGATGGGTGGTAGTCAGGGGGTTTCTTTGACTCTGTTCATCTGGTTGGATCTGGATTCGAACCTGGGTCTGATTCATATTTCAACAGTTTTTGGCTGTACCAACTGAGCTAGGCGCGCTCGTAGGCACAGCTAAGTCAGGGGTTCTTTTTCCCAACAGCCATGAACATGTTTCCATCCTGGCTCTCTTGCAGTGCAATAACTCAAAGAAAGACAATGCCGTGCACTTGCAACTGAAATGGGACAACTTGGAAAGAGAAATAGACAAAGGAAGATGAAGAAATGCGAATGATGGAAGAAGAAGAAGAAGAAGAAGAAGAAGAAGTACACCAGCAAAGATCAACGTCAAATTCCCCCCCTTTCTCGCACCACCATCTTCATCCTTTAATTACTCCACCAACTTCTTCGTGATAACAATAATAAGAATAACAATGAAAGAATGAACCAGAACCAATGTCCAAATCCTCTCCCTACTGCCAGCCACTCAAGGGGTCCACCATACCCATCGCATACACCTTCCTCCTACTTTGTCGAGCAGGTGGCTATGGTGGACTATCGGAGTGAAGCTCCAATGTTCAGAGGACAACACAAAGCTACTATATCCCTCCTACTCTGCCGCCATGCCCCTCTACTGCCCCGAAGTCTTCCCTGCAGATGCCAACCACAGCTGGGGCCTTCCAGGTGCAGCGCCAACCAAGAAGATGAAGGTGCAGACCACCATAGCCAGGCAAGCTTCCCCTGTCATCCTCCTCCTTGTCCAATGTCTTCCTCCTCCTCCTCCTACCTCCCACGAAGCTCCTCCTCGGTCCTCTCCACCATAGGTGAGGTGGGAGGCCAAGCCCTCCTCCGTCCTCAGCGCTGTTCCACTCAGCACTCGCTCACCCAAGCAGCGGGCCACCGAACTTGCACACCGCAAATGAGAAAGTGCTATTCGCTCTCCCCGAAGATATACATATACCGTCCTACTGCCTCTTCGAGCAGTGACTTTTCAGGCCTTCACCGTTTCAGAGGGAAACATCATTGCAGTCTGAGATGATGATATCCCTCACTGCAGGGCGTAGACTCAGAGTACTGGACCGGTACCCCTAGACTCTTTTTTTTTTTTTTTTTTTTTTTTTAAATAACAGAACCTCATGGTTCTTGGCTCCTACCATTCTGGGGAGCAACAGTCCGGTTCCTTTC